GGCATAAACCGGTCTGTGGCGCAAAAAAGGTTGGGGACCGCTGCTGTACTGTGTTCACCAGCTTATCTCTGAATATGTCCATCAAACGCTTATGGAAAGCTTTATGACTGAAAAAAGGGTCTGCTGCAGCAAAAAAAGATGCTAACATACTGAAGAGCTGCAATATGGCACCCCTCTGTTGGATCATAACCACTAGCCGCCCCTTTCATATTGAAATCACTCAATAATTCACTGTTCATATGAAAAAACAATGACTCCTGTGGCTTTAAGCATATAATAGCTATGATGCAGTTTCCAATAACAGGCATTGAGTTGGAGGGGTTTAAATATTGACTATAAGACAATTCTCAAAAAGACACACACAGGTCACACAACTGCTTACACACAAGGTCTATATGAAAAATCTGTGTATCTATGTATTTTGACAGTTCAATACTGGTTTAAGCATTGGCGGCACTTTGTGTTACTTTGCTGCTTATGTATGGCAGTGGTTTGTGGTGTTCATGTTGCACTTGTGTTAGTATCTGTCTTATTGATGTGGAAACACTGTGGTTATTTCTTCAATTCCACAGTTGGATATTGCTTTAAAAGTATTCCCTCAACGATACACACAAATACAGAAATATTACTGAGGTGGAAAGACAAGTGAAGAAGCGATTGTACATTCAGCAATAAAACACCCATCAAATATTTATTTATTCTCTAGTAAAGGCAGAAAATCAAATATTAAAGCTTCCTTTGCTCATTCTGTGCGAGTGTGAATGAGAGGGGAACAATAATAGTACAAAAAATGAAGAACGTGACAAAATCCATTCAGCTGATTTTAAACAGACAAGAAAAATGTTCAATAAAAGAGTCAACAATTAAGCACAGATGCATTTACAGCATTTCCCACCACAGCCTGTGTATAGTATAGTATTTTCAGGTTGGAGCCAGAACCAGAACTTCAAACCTTGTGGCTCAGAGTTAAGGGGGTTCACATGCATAAGAATTTGGACGTGACTGAAGTGCAGATTTTAAGCTTAATTCAGGTGCTTTAACTGTTTAGATATTACTGCAGTTTTCATATGTAGTCCCTCACTTTCAGAGGCATAAAATTAAACTTGCAAATATAATTGGAAAAAAATCCTTTGGAGAAAATGATTGCCTGAAGTCTAGAATCCATGGACATCACTAAATGCTGTGTTTCCTCCCTGCAAAGTCTCCTACTACAGCTGCCTTCAATTAATGCATGCTTGAAAGTCATTGAGGAATATCTAATTTCTTTGCCTTGAAAAGCTTTTGGGTTGCTTTTGCAGTGTACTTTGGGTCATTATTATGCTTATGCTATCATCAATACACATTATGCTATCATCAATATCATCAATACACATGAATGCCCAGCTTCCACTTGCTATTCTTCAGCTCATAAGCCCATCATTCTAGTGCAAATTAATCTTGTTTTCATATGTCTTCATGCGTCATAAGACTTTGTTCTCCAAGAACTACAAGTTCTTTCAGCTGTTTTCTGGCAAATTGAATCTTCTTGTTATTGACTTTAAACAATTCTGGGAAACGATTCATGTCATCATGCACTTTTAGTTTTATAGCTCTTGTAAGGTGTTTTGGTGTTGCTGATCTGAATAACTGAATAACTACCAAAGTTCAACACATGGAATCAACTCCAGCTCTTTCATCTGCCAGATTATAAGGGAACCAACCTCATGTGGTCAAAATACTGGTCAACTCTTCACTGACTTTCATGCCTCTCAAAAAGGTGGACTATGTACCCTGTACAAATACTTATAGACTTGGCTGTACATGATTATCATTGTGCTAGGTAAAGATCAAGGTATGATACTACATATATACATATATACATGATAATACATATTATGTATTAGAATTTCACATAAAGATATCCACAGACAACATAAAGAAACACCAAGTGGAAAAAAACGCAAAATGAAAACAAGCCATAATAATTATGAGCTAAAAACTGAATAAAAAACAAGCCAATCGAGTGTGAAATTGTCTGAGTATGTAAATGTATTCCATACTCCAGTGATAAGTGGCAACTCAAAAAAAAAACAGTTGTTACAATATGAGTGAATGCAACTCAATCCCAAGTGAAGGACCTGCCTGGCCTGCCTCATCAAGGGGCTTCTCTCTCCCTCCCCTCATGCTCCACCTCTCTTTCTCTGAGTCTTTCCATCTCTCTCTACACCAGCAAACTGAAAGAGTGAATTTCGCTAAAGGGCACATCATGACTGGTGGAAAAAATGTATTTATGAGTCAAGCTAACGCTTTGAAATGGAAGTCTACTGGAGCCAGCACATAGCACCAACTTGTTTCTGACAGAATGCATTCGAAACACCTTCAGCTGTGACTGTGAAACAGAGGTAAAACATCACAGAAATGAAGGACATTGATCCCTGCAAATATGAATAGTACTTCCTGCCTGCTTGTATGCATTTCCTTATGTTTTTCCTATGAGCTGCGAATAGATCTTGCACTAGCGCCCTTTCATTGGACTAACCCCACACCACCTC